TTCAACATAAGGAGGGTCTTGAGGAAGAGGAAGTAGCAGAGGACACTGGAGCCAAAGCGGCCACCGATCTGCTTCAGGGCATAGTGCCAGGGCTGCGCAGTGCGGAGCAGGGAGAGGAGCCGGTACCAGAGACCTCGGCAGCCCTGGGGAGAGGAAAATGGGGAGAGCAGTGGGGCTGGAGCCTGCACTGGAGCCCTCACAGCCTCTGTGCAGACCTGCGCCCCTGACTTACGAGGACGACGCAGACCTTGGACCAACCACAGGGTGAGGAGGGGGCCCAGTGATGGGTGCGCTGCCTCAGGGGGCCCCTCTGCCCGCTCAGCTGCCGCCTGCCCAGAAGAGGGGTGTCAGAGGGTACCACAGGTCCTGGGACAGCTCTGGTTGTGGGAATCTGGCACTGGTGGAAAGGGTCCTACCGGAGGATGCGTTTCTCCGCCAGGCTGAGGGGCATGGTGAGCAGCATGTGGCTGCACTGGCTGGGTGAGAGGCTCAGCAGCTCCTTCACCAGCAGGCGCCGCTTCTCTGGGGCACAAGGGGCTCAGTGGGACACAGCTGGCCAGGTCATGGCATGCCTGTCCCTAACCCAGTGTAGGGACAGTGGCCAGCATTGCCTTCTCACAGTCTGGGGGACTCTCACCTTCCAGCGTGGCCCTGGTGGGGTCCGTCTCCAGGTCGTACTGGCGCAGGCTGGGCCGTGCTGCACGGCAGAGCTGCTGCAGGGGTGGGCGGCTGCTCCGGCGCCGCAGCCGGGCCGTGCGGTTGCAATACTGGGAGATGATGGCCCCAAGGTTGCGGCCTGTGGATCCAAGCAGAGCAGGGGTTGGGAGGCTGTGGGAGAGCAGGGCAGGCACGAGAGCTCTCCAAGGGGTCTGGGACCTGGGGAAGACTGGGAAAGGGGGTGGCACCTACCGATGGTGCGGCTGGGCATGCTGGCCAAAATCTGCAGGGAGGCAGAGGAGTAGCTGGGGTGTTCCTCACCTTGCCCGGGCTCTGGCCAGGTCACAGCAGAGGCATCTGGAGTAGCCAAGTAGGCTGGGGACTCTGAGAGAGGGAAGGCAGGATGCAGAGAGCCCATGGCTCATCCCTGCTGCCCTGCTCCAGCACGTAGGCTAGATGTGTGCTCTTCCCAGAGTATCCCCTTCTCCAGGGATGCTTTCTGTGTCCCCAAGATCTGGTCTGCCCTGGACTGCCCTGTTCTGCACTGGCCAGGGCATCAGCAGGCTGCTATAAATGCTCAGACCACAGCATTGATGTGTGACACAGCTGGCCCAGGCAGAGGGATGGCCCTGGGCACACACACTGTCCCCAGCCTGCCCTGGCTGAGGCTGCTGCGCTTTACCTCTGCCCCTCTCCTGCAACTCCAGCTCCAGCCCTGCCTCGATCAAGCTGCTCTGCTCCAGGATGAGCTGGTGGAATGAGGTGTGCAGGGCACTCTCGTTGTCTGGACTGGGCTCCTGGCTGCAGGAACACGGGGACATGGTGGCACGGACAGCCGGTGCCTGCAGGTCGTCCCTGGGATGCAGCTCCCGGGCCACGGCAGGGCAGCGGGGAGGGTGACGCTCACCCATCACTCTCGGTGCCCTCGGGGACGCGGAGGGTGATGGAGGGCGGCTGGGACATCCTGCGAGGCCGAGCGGGTCCCCTCGCGAACAGACTGGCGCACTGGTCCCGGCCCCGGCAGCCCCCGCTGACCCGGCTCCCCCGGCTGCCGGGCCGCGGGACGGGGATGGAGCCGGAGCCGCTGCAGGGGACAGGCGGGATCGGGGAGTCGGCGGGGCTAAACCGGGACTAACCCCGGCTCCAGCCCAAGCGGGCGTCAGGAAGGAAGAGAGGGCGGATGGGGCGGTACCGCTTTCGAGCGGGTTCCGCCCGCCGTCCCGGGACCTTTCGGGTCAGGCACGAAGCCTCCGAGCGCCAGTCCCGGCTCGGCTCGGGAAGGGCCCGGAGCGGCCCTAAGAGGGCACATCGGAACAAAGACCCCCGTGCCCCGCACCGTGTTCCCCCGCCCAGTGCCGCCTCCTTCCGCCCCTGCTCTCCCTCCTCCACCGCCCTCCGGCTCCGCAGCTCCCCGGGCGGGCTAAGGCTGCCTGGGGCAAGCGGCCGCCCCGGGGCTCCCCGTCAGGCCCCGCTCGCCCCGACACCGGGAACCGACGGGACGCTCCCGGGCGCTCCCGCTGTCCGGGCGTGGCTCGCGTGGGTGCGGATCTGCGGGGAGGGTGGGGGCTCCCGAGCCCTGCCCGTCCCGTCCCATCCTTCTCGCCGCCTCCCGGTACCGGGTGGGGGCGGCGGGAGCCCCACAAAAGCCCCCCGTTTCCCCGTGGCTGCGCTCACCGGGGCCTGTCGGCGGCCGAGGCGTGGGGCCGGCGCTCCCCGTCCCCCGTTACACCGCGGCGGAAGGAGGGACGGGGCGGGCCACCGGGACACGGTGCGGGACCAGCGCGGCGCTCTGTGCCCGGGCGGGGGAGCCGCTGTCCCGCCGGACCGAGCCCGTCCGTCCCGCCCCGGCGCTGCCGGACCGCCAGGCCCGGCCCTCGGGGGGCGGTGCCGCGCAGGGGCGGCGGCGGAGCGCGATGGAGGGCGGCGGAGGCGCCTACGGGGCGGCCAAGGCCGGCGGTGCCTTCGACCTGGTCCGCTTCGTGCAGCAGCCGCAGGTGCTGGCGCGGATCGTCAGCGCGGTGAGTGGGGCGGGACGGGAGAGCCCTGCCGGGACGGCGTCCCCCGCCGCAGGCCGGTGCCCCTCGGCCGCCGGGACGGGCAGCCCCCGCAGGGCTCCCCCCGGCCTCGGTGCCGCCCACCGAACATCGGCTCCGCCCCGCAGGTCTTCGCCCTGATCGTGTTCGCCTGCCTGGTCGGGGATGGCTACACGAGCCGGGCCGAGGACCCCCGGCTCTTCTGCATCTTCAACCACAACGAGGACGCCTGTCGCTACGGCATCGGCATCGGCGTCCTCGCCTTCCTCGCCTGCATCTTCTTCTTCATGGTGGACGTCTATTTCCCCCAGATCAGCAACACTACCGACCGCAAGTACCTGGTCCTGGCCGACCTCGGCTTCTCAGGTACCGGGGCCGCGGGGCAGGGCTGTGCCTGCTGTCGCTGCCACAATGGCCGCCTTGTCCCGTGACGTGGCTGCCGGTGCCTGGCGAAGGGAGTCGCTCCCGTCTGGCCTGCTGCCGCTGCTGCCGCTGCTGCCGCTGCTGCCGCTGCTGCCGCTGCTGCCGCTGCTGCCGCTGCTGCCGCTGCTGCCGCTGCTGCCGCTGCTGCCGCTGCTGGCGCTGCTCAGTGCCCGAGGATTGCCTGCTCCAGCCTGCACGGTGGAGCAGGGTCTGGCCCCGGGACTGCCCAGGAGCAGCGGGACCAGCCCTGGCCCCTCATGCCACTTCCCCCCCACAGGTCTCTGGACCTTCCTGTGGTTCATCGGCTTCTGTTTCTTGACCAACCAGTGGTCCTGGACACGGGCCGAGGATGTGTACATCGGAGCGGACTCTGCCCGTGCTGCCATCACCTTCAGCTTCTTCTCCATCTTCTCCTGGGTGAGCGAACCGCTCTGCCCCACTTGGGGGGAGCGCAGAGGGGCCCCCTCCACTCCACAGCCTGGAATGGCCTTAATGCTGCTGCCTCCTTCTCTCTGCAGGGACTCCTGCTCACTTTCGCTTACAAGAGGTACAAAATGGGAGTGGAAGACTTTGCTCAAAACTATGCCGACCCCAGCCCGGAGGTTTCGGCTCCCTACTCCAGCTATCCCAACATCAGCCATGAGAGCTACCAGCAGCCACCCTTCACGCACACAGCGGATGCCCCGGAGGGTTATCAGCCACCACCAGTGTACTGAGCCTTGGCTGGCACCCGCGGGACAGCTGTACCAGTGCAATTCCTTCCGCGGGGTGGGGGATCTGGGACTTGGAGGGGACAGTGGGGTGGGAGGGTGACGGCTGCTTTTTTGAAGGTGACTGGGCCTCTTCATGGGGTGCAGGAGGGGCTTCTGCCTGGTCCCAGAGCTGAGATCCTCACTGGAGGGTCCAGAGCCCAGTGTGTGGTGGGTGATTTGCAGCTGCAGGAGCTTGGGTGTGTGGGAGGCCTTGACATGTACGAGCCTTTGCTTTGGCTGTGGTGCCTTGGTGGTGGGGTGTGGTTCACAGCCCCTGACCCTGGCTCTGCCCTGTGACTGTTGCCCTGGCCCATCCTGTCTCCTGTGCCTTCCAGCCCTGCTGGCTGCATTCCCCCAAGTGCCATCTCTCACTGCCCTAGCACAGCCAGGCCCAGCTCCTGCCTGTGCTGCCTTTCTGTGCCTTCCCCCATGGGCTGCTTCTGGGTGAGCTGTTGCCAAAGCCCCCTCTTCTCTTACCTGATGCCGTGCTGTGCCTTCCCCCAGCCTGCTCTGAGCTTGGCTAATGCAGTTTGGGGTCTGTGGGAGCAGCGAGCACTGAGAGCCCTCAGCAGGGCTGTGGCTGAGGACAGTCCTGGAGCACTTTCTTTCCCTCGTGTGCCTGCCTGAGTGCTGCCTCTGCTGCTGTTTGGCTGAGCTCCTGCACCCTGGCCACACCAGGAGCCCGCGGGCCGTTGTCTCAGGTTGTGTTTGCTGCTGTGCTGTGGTAAAGCTGTTCCCGGCAACCATGTGGGCCATCACTGCTGGGGCCAGTGTTCAAGTAGTTGTCACTGTAGGGTTGAAATAAACTTTTTCACCAAGCCACCACGTGAGCCACCAAGTGCCTTTTGTCTCAGGGGAAGCAGACGAGGTTCCTGCCTTCTGCCCCCATGGGCTGGGGGGGTCAGGTGGGGCACTGCAGCCCCTGCCAGCTGCTGTGCTGCTCACAGCACACTTGTGCTATTTTTAGGCCACCCTCCTCCTGCTCCCTGGTCTGAGAGCAGCCCTCCCACCCTGTGACTGCTGCAGTCACCAGCCCATGCTGTCTCACTGGTCATGGCCAGGAAGACTTAGCAGAACACTGGTAGAAAATACACACACAGGTTCATTAAGTTATTTATTAACCTAAAGCAGCAGCAGCACCTTCCCCAGCCCGGGGAAAAAGCCCAGGCCTGGCAATCAAGTGCTTGTGAGTACAGTTATTCTCACCTGTAACATGGGGGCAGCAGGGAGAGTTCAGGCAGCTCTTGGAGCCTTCCAGGGCAGAGCAAACAGCAACCCTGGACTCAAATGCAGAGGTCTGGCCTCACCAGAACAAAGAGCTACCGCTCAGAGCCTGTGGATGCTGGCTTCCCAAAAAAAACACTTTTGCAGGGAATAAGGAAGCAACAACCTTCCAGAATCTGAGTCAAACAAAGAAGCAAAAGAATCCTTCAGTCAGCTTAGAGCAGACTAAGAGAGTGAGCCTTGAGAATTTTGGAAGGCTGAGGAGGGAGCAAGAGACATGACTAGAATGGAGAGGGAGCTCCTCAGAGGAGAGCCCCTTTACCAAGCAGGTGGATCTTCCCTGGAATAATTGTCCAAATCTTGGTAGATGAAACTCTGAGCCTCCAAACCCCTCAAAGGTAACATAACACCAAAGTGGCAGCACCAGCCCTGAACCTGAGAAAAACTGCCCTGAATTTGGAGAAGGCTCTTCCCTGGGCCAGTTCCTCCAAAGGAATCTGTCAGACCCTGCTAGAACACAGCCAGCCCTTTGAGGGTCAACACCTCAGAAGAGTCAGCTGCTAGGCCTCCTTCACCTTCTTCTGTTTCAACAAAAATCGACAGGGCAGTAACACTAATGAGCATGCTGGCAGAGGGTTTGGGGGCCTGCCCAGGCCTGGGCTGCCAGGTGTGTCAGTTTAAAAGCTGTGTCACAACTCTGTGACAAGGGACAAGTTACCACAGACTGTTAAAGGAAACTAAAAATTGCATTTAAAATACTAGTGGCTGTACACTGTCTTGAGAAACCTGGAATTTAGCAACAGCACACAAGAGAAGGGCTGCACTCACAGGCACCAGAAGCAGCACCAGTGCCAGCCCAAGCATGCTTAGGCCACTGGGAGAGCTGGCCAGTGCCACTGTGAGTGGCAGAAGAGCTGCAGGAGCGCTGTGGCTGGGCTCGATGTGCAGAGCCCCAGGGCCTGTGTGTGGCAGCATCAGTAACTGCTTGTCTCTTTCCTTGTTCTGAGATAGGAACTCACTCTAGCCAGGCTTTTGCTTCCGCTTCCACCAGCATCAGGTTTGGTGGATCCTCAGTTGCGCTGCTGGCACAGGGAGTTTGGGTAGGGAGGGCTGAGGCGCTGGACAGTTTGCTAAAGTAGAGAGAGGCAGACCCAGTGCCCACGAGCCACAGAACTGAGCTCCCTTCCCCTCCGTTTTCCAGCAGTCAAGCGAAGATCTTCCGAGGGGCAGCTGTCTCCAGCTGCCTCAGGCCCAGGGGCACGTTCTCCTTGTTCTCTGTCCCGGCCTGCTGGGGTCGCTTGCGGAAGTAGCAGGCTCGGCACACAGAATGGTACTTGTCGGCTCCTCCAATCACTTCAACCTGGCAGGGAAATTTGGGGAGTGACTGCAGAGCCCAGCTCCCTGGAGGGAGTCTCTCTGTACCAGCTGGACTGGCAAGGTGAAACAGTTCCTGTTCCAAGGTGACTCACCTCCTGCTCTGCTCCCAGCCTCTTGGTGTAGGAGGCCTCCCGGAAGCACTCCATGCACACAGCGTTCAGCTTCACCACGCTCTCCGCCAGTGGCACCAGGTTCAGGATGCTCCCAAAGGCCTGGGCGAGACAACAGGGAAGATGCTGCTGGGTTGGTTCCACAAGGGACCCAAAGCAGTTGCTGTACCAAAATGACTGTTTTACCTTCCTCTGGAAAGTCCCATCCAGAGCAGCAACAATGATGGTTTTCCCAGTGTTTGCCATTGTCTCGCAGAACTCCACAATATCTGGGAACTGGAGGGGGTACAGGCACATTGTAAAGAAGGATGGGGGTCAGCACTTGGCTCCAGATTCCACAGTGCATGCCCAGACAGCAGCACCAGGAACAAGGAAAATCAGAGCCATGTGCCCTGTCTGTGAAATGGGCTCCAGTCCCACCCTCCTGTCTGCAGGGACTATAGGGAAGGAGGGTTTCACTAAAAGCACAGGCCACATGGATCAAACTGCCCCAAGGCATTATTTCCCACCGTCTCCTACAAAGGACGCAGACCCTGGTCTGCACAGGGTGTACCGAGGAGTCTGTGTCCCTCAGAGCCCAGCAAACCCCCCCCAGCCGTGCACTTACGAACTGGCCCTCATCGATGCCAATGACGGCGGCAGCCAGCGCCTCCTGGTAAACGTCCTGGAGGAGCCCGGCAGGCAGGGCCTCCATGGTGCTCCTGTGGGCAGGGAGGGAGTGAGCCGGACAGGCCGGGCAGCCGCGTGGAAGTGGGGTGTCCTCCTGCCCCGGGAACTCACTTGTCGTGTGTGGAGACCCCAGAAGAGCTGTAGCGCGTGTCCTTGGCATATTTCACCAGCAGGCACCGGTACTGGGCGAGCTGGAACCGCCGCACTCGCCGCATGAGTTCCGTGCTGCAAGACACGGTGTCAGCGGGCCTCGGCCTCAGCCCGCCGCCTTCCCGGGACCCCCGCCCTGCGCCTCCCGCTCCGCGCCTACCTCTTTCCTGAGAACATGGGCCCGAAGATCACCTAAGAGCAGAACGACGGGGTCAGAACGGCAGTCAATGGGACGCTCCGGCTCCACCCAGTGCCGGTGGGGCCCCCTGGCCCCGCAGCCCCCTCAGCCCGGTACGGTACCTATATCTGCCCCCCAGCCCGATGCGCGGCAGCGCTGCCGTACCTGCATGTGCTCCCACACCGGTGCCCCAGGGTGGAAGCTGTATCTGCCCCCAGCCTGTGCTCGGGTGACACCGTACCTGTATCTGCCCGCGGGGGCGGCTTGGGGAGCCGGGGTGGACACCGGGCACCGTCAGGCAATTCATGGCGGACTGCCGGTCCGAGCCCGCGCGCTCCGCTCCGGCGCGGCTCCGTCAGCCAATCGGAGGAGGCCTCTCACCCACGCGCCGCTGCGCTAGCCAATCGTGAGAAGGCTTGCGCCGCCGCGCGCTGGTACCGCCCAATGGGCTTGAGGGCGCCAAAATTTTTATTTCTCCCAGCCCGCCGGCTCCGCCCCCGGTCCCGAGCGGCCAATGGGAAGAGGCCCCGCCCCCTGGCTCTGGCCTCGCCTCCACGGCCTGGCCCCGCCCCCGGGCTCGAGACTCGCCTCCGTGGCGGCCAATGGGAGCGGGTCTGCCCGGCCCGCTCGGGCCCCGCCCCTCGGCGGCCGCCGGCCCCGGGAGCGGCCCCGGGAGCGGCCCCGGGAACGGCCCCGGGAACGGTCGCACCATGGGAGGGTGGCGGGATATGTCCACGGAGGTAGGGGCCCGGAGGCAGAACCCGCGGGTGGGCAGAGCGCGGTTCTCGTCCGGGCCGCCGGCTGGGGGCTTTCTCGCGGCCCCCGGCGGCCCGGCGGCGCTGGCCCCGCCGTATCCCCGTTGTCTCCCCGCAGGCGCTGGAGGACCAGTACTCTCCCAGTCACTGGTCCCCCCGCCTCGACCGGGACACCATCATCGACGCCCACGTCGCGGTGATGGCAGCAGGTGGGGAACGTGCGGCGCCGGGAGAGGGGCTGCGCTCGGTGCCACGGCCCCGTGCTCCACCGCCTCCCCTCCCGCAGGAACCGAACGGGCTCGGGCCAGCGCGCAGACCTCGCTGCACGTCCCCTATGGCCACGGGGACGGGGAGAAGCTGGACATCTATTTTCCCACGGACCCTTCTGAAAGTGAGTGGCGGGGGTGGCGGGGACGGGAGTGGGCAGGGTGCACACCCGGCTCATCCCCCGCTGTGCTGCACAGCCTTCCCGGTTCTCGTCTACATCCACGGCGGATACTGGCAGTGCTTGAGGTGAGAGACTCCTCGGGAAGGGACCCCTCACCAACTCTTGCTGACCCCTTCTCCTGGCACTGGGACTCGCTCTGGGTACACGGGTCTGACCGGTCCCCAGCTGGCCCTGCGGCCCCCGGTTCCCGCTGCCTGACAGCATCTCTGTCCCCCAGTAAGGACCATTCGGGGTTTGCAGCCCCCCCGCTGGTGTCGCAGGGGGTGGCAGTGGTGGCGGTGGGGTACGACATAGCCCCTAAAGGTAGGTGCTGCCCTGCAGAGGCTGCAGCTGCCTGCGTAGCCCAGTGCCCTCCAACCCTGCCCTTTGTCCTTTCCTCAGGCCACATGGACACCATGGTGCTGCAGGTGCGCCGCAGCCTCGTCTTCCTGGTGGAGCGGTACCCTAGGATCAGGTGGGTGGTTCCCAGGTCGGGGGGTGGTCTGTGAGACTGGCTGGGGGGACAAACACGGCCTGCAGTGGGACAAAGGTTTTGGCACCTCGATCCAAACGCTGGGCAGTGCCTGTAGGCACAATCCCGTAACTGCATGAGGCAGCAGCCGACAGATTGGGAAACATCTGAGCTGACACATTCGAGCTGTGCCACCTCCTCTGCACGGAATAAAGTGTACCTAAGTGTCCCTAGGTGCCCCTCTCAGTCGCTCCCTCCTACCGGCTCGCTGCTCCTTCCTTTCAGAGGCATTTACTTGTGCGGACACTCGGCAGGGGCCCACCTGGCAGCCATGGTGCTGTCCACAGACTGGACGGAGTTCCAAGTGGTGCCAGATATCAAAGGTAATGTTGCCATGTCCCAGAAGAGGCTTGGGAGAAGAACTGGTCTCCACACCTGGGACAAGGCTGTGGGGCTGTGCAGCCCCAGCTGATTCTGAGGTCCCCAGGGCTGTGGGAGCCACCCAGGCTGCAGCTCTTCATCTGCCAGTGCCTCTGCCTCCAGGAGCGGTGCTGGTGAGCGGCGTGTATGACCTGGAGCCCATCCTGCACACCTATGTGAATGATGCTCTTAACATGAGCCGGTGAGCCCTCACGCTCTGGGGACAGCCACGGGGACAGAGCACAGGCAGGCGAACGTCAGTGGCTCTGCAGCCACCCTGCCCCTATGCCTGCCCCAGCTGGTGAGTCCAACTGATGGCACGAGTGCTCCTGGAGCAAAGGGCTTCGTGATCTGCCACCGGTGTGACTCCTGCAGGGAGGTGGCCCAGAGGAACAGCCCCATGAGACATGTCACCCCGTCCGTGCCAGCAGCCTGTGAGGTGCTTGTGGCTGTGGCCCAGCACGACTCCCCAGAGTTTCGCAGGCAATCACAGGAGTACAGCCAGGTGAGCATCAGGCGGTCACAGGAGCATGGCCAGGTGAGCTCCAGCAGCACCCTGCTCGGCTCTGGTGGCGACACTGCTCCAGGCAGCCCTCACCAACTTGCCCAACCGGGAAGAAAAGCTTCTGTGCTGAGCCAGAGCAGTTTCTGGCTCACCGGGGGACACCAGTCCTTGCTAAGACATTATTCCTGCTGCATGTCCAGGACATGTGGAGTTTGGGGTCCATCCTGCCGGCACTGCTCTCTCCACAGGCCCTGCGTGCAGCCGGCTGGTCTGTCTCTCTGCTGGATCTGGCTGGTGTGGATCACTTTGACATCATTGAGAAGCTGTCGGAGGACAGCTATGTCCTCACTCAGGTAGGCGGTGAGTGAGGACGTAGCGAGTGACACAGGAGGGCTGTGCCAAGGTGGGTCAGGTGGGCTGCCACCTCCCTGCAGGGAGGTACAGGGTCAGGGGCTTTTCACAGGGTTTGGCTTCTCATCCCAGGTGATTCTGAGCATGATTTCAAGAGCATGATGGCATGTCAGGAGTAAACAGATGGGGACCATGGCCCTGTGTGGTGGCAACAGGCATCTGGATCCCGCTGCCTGCTGCCTCCTCGGTCTAACACAGGGTGATCACTGTGTCAGACCCACACCGTGCCCTCTCTGCACAGCCCAGCCTCTGCCCCTTCCCTGGGGTGTTCCTGGCTGCTGGAGTGCAGGGGACTGAGGGCTGCAAGGCTCTGTCTGGGCAGCTGGGTCATGAAGTTTGTTCCCTCGGTGCCCTTTAAACTGCACATTGACAATACAAAATAAAATGAGAATTACCGCTGCCTGGGGTAGTGCTTCCCAGGGAGCCAGTGAGTGCACACCCAAAGCAACTGCTGCTGAGAGAATCCCTTCTTCCAGTGCAGAGTTCTGGGCCTTGCTGACCCAGAACATGACAGGGAAGCCTGGGGAGCCCACCTGCTGCTGTGGGACAGAATGACATAAGCCTCTGTGAATGGGAGTGACAGAGCCGTCTGGGCCAGGCTGGGCTCATGCTCCTGGGACAGTCCTGGCCTGACACAAACCTTGGCACTGCTGTGCAGCAACCCTGATCCTGTGGCTGAGATGCTTCCATGTCCTCAGGAGCATTTGTCCCTCTGCTGGGACCTTGGCTGTGATGATGTACCTGCTGCAGAGCAAGGAAAAGAGCACATTTGAGGGCAAACACCCTTCACAGCTACAGTACCTACACAGTACCTAACCATTGCTGTTGGACACAAAATGATTCACATGGACACAGCTCAATGTGTGATAGGAAAAAGAGTGCAATTTATTCTGTGGTTTCAGTATTTATAGATTCTTGACAACGACCAGAGATTAGATAGTTAGGTTACCACCTTCCCAACCACACTGGTCGTGAGAAATGACCATCAAAAGACATTTCTTCAATGAAATGTATAAATATCTATGTTTATAGTTACTTTCCTGGGAAAGTAGCTAGAAACTATGAAAACAAGATCAAAAGGCTTAATTCTCAGGGCGACACCTAACTACAGTAAAATGTGTTTATTTTGTGCACTGACTGCCTCAAGGGCTGGGGTCTCTGCTAGGCTGGGCTCACATTGGTTTGTCAGGCTGCCTGTGAGGGCTGATGTGATGGCTGGGAACACATCTGGAGCACAAAGGGGCTGGTCCCAGTCCTTGCTTTGAGCTGCCCAACTGCTGCAGCTGTGGGGCTGGCAGAATGTTCAGGCTCCCCCAGTGCCTGGAGACATCGGATGCAGTCCCAAGGCCAGTTCCTCCTGGCACTTCCTGGCCACAAATTCCAGCTTTCTCCTTGCGAGCTCGGTGTCACGGTCCGAGATGTCGCGGTGCCAGACAGCGCGCGCAGTCCGTGCTGACCAGGGGAGCAGCAAGACGCTGACAGCCTGCCCAGTCTCAGCCACCTCCTCCTCGCTGACGGCACGCAGGCGGTGGCAGAGCTCAGCGGGGGATGGCCAGGCCCCCTGGACATTTACCATCACGATGTTGGTCTCCACCGCTGCCAGGTTAATGGACAAGAGGGGAGAGTCCAGCACATGGATACCTGTGGGAGGCCGAGGTTGTGCAAACCCACTGCCCAGCTACCTGGAAGAGACTACCTGCCCCAGCCCCGCCCCAGGTTCTGGATGAGGGAGAGCCTTTTCTCCCCCCGTGTGGTACCAGGGTCACTGAGCACAGCACGGGGACAGTCACAGCACGATCCTGGCACTTCAGCCAGGTGAGGATCCCAACAGCATCCTCACCTGGCTGGAGACGGAGTGCGGCCATCCAGAGATGGTGCCCAAGCCACTAGTACTGTGTATTGCTGGGCAGTGCCAGGTGTGCTGTTACATCCCAGCACACTCAGGGAACCCGAGGTACCTTCTGCAAAGCGCCGGGCGTTGGTGTGGTCTCTGCCAAGTGTCGCCTCCGCGCGCTGCAGCCCGAGGCGGGCAGCAGCCGCCAGCACTCCCGCCTGCCGCATGCCCCCGCCCAGCAGCTTCCGCACACGCCAGGCCTCGGTGACAAACTCCCTGCACCCTGCCAACACCGCGCCAGCCGGGGCACCCAGGCCCTGCAGAACCACCAGCGGGGTCACTCCAGCTGTACCAGGGCACCTGCCCCTCAGGGGTTGGGGCCCAGCCTGCCAGGTGTGTTCTTAGCTCAACACCTGCAAACAAGGGCCAAGGTCTGGCTTGTGCCAGCCCCTGCCAGCCCTGGGGACCCCTCCCCACACAAGCAGACCTTGGAGAAGCAGAGGGACACAGAGTCACAGTGCTGGGCAATCTGAGCTGGCTGCACACCCTGGGCCACTGCTGCATTCATCAGTCGTGCACCGTCCATGTGCACCCGCAGCCCGTAACGGTCAGCGAGCCCACGGACCTGGGAGTCAGAGGGACAGCTGGTTTGGGAGGGACCCCTGGGGCATCTGGTGCTGCCACAAGCCGTGCTCCGAGCTCCAGTGCTCCCGCAGTGCCACTGTGCAGGGCCCAGCTGCCTACGCCAGGCAGGATTGTGCCAGCACCATCTGCGGGCTCTCACCTGCCTGAGATAGGTGAGGGGCAGTGCCCGGCCCCCCGCCGAGCTGTGTGTGTTCTCCAGGCAGATGAGCTCAGGGCGCGGGTGGTACCGGCTGTCGTGGGCCTCACGGATGGTCAGCTCCAGCTGGTCCAGGTCAAATGTGCCATTCGGCAGATCTGGCAGTGCCTGGGTGTGCACACCAGCGACCTGTGCCGGGGCAGGGAAGAGCATGGAGCTGAGAGGACACAGTGCTGGTGCACAGGGGCTCCAGTCCTCTGTCCCCTCCATCGGGTGTGTACAGCCCCCACTCGTGCTGCAGCCCGTGGACTGGGACAATAATCCAGGTGATGCTCTGGAAGCGGATCCTCCGCCTGGCCCGGCCCTGGTAGCCAGAGGAGGGCAGCACGCGGCTGTCCTCCTGCCCTGCGCGCACCGTGCCACCAGTGCCACCAGTGCCACCAGTGCCACCGTGCCCGCCGCTCTCACCTGCGCGGCCCCGCCGTGCTCGTATTGGTGCAGGTGGCTGTCCTGGCCCAGGAACAGCTGAGCCCCCCTGCGCTGGCAGTGGCACATCACTGGGAGAGAAGGGCCGTGAGGGAGGGGACCAAGGGCAGCATCCCACAGCCTGGAGCGCAGCCCCGGACTCACCGGCGATGAGATTTGCCATGGTGGCCGTGGGCACGAACAGAGCCGATTCCGTTCCCAGAGTCCCCGCAGCCAAGCGCTGCAGCTCTGCGGGGCGACACGGGTGTCCCGGGGGCTGGCGCTGGGCGGGCTCAGGGGCTCGGGGACCCCACAGGTTCCGCCTGCCCCCGCGTCGGGGGCTTGCAGGCAGGGACCCCTCGGGAAGCCCGTCCCCTCCACCCACCGTTCACTGCCGGGTCCTCCCCGTAGTCGTCGTCGCCCACGGCGGCGCGGGCCATGGCGCGGCGCATCCCCCCGCACGGCCGGGTCACCGTGTCGCTCCGCAGGTCCACGGCGAGCGGCCCCGCGGCGGGACCCCGCGGCTGCGTCCCCCCCGGCACCCCCCCGGGCCCGGGCAGCCACCGCCGCCGCAGCACCGCCCGCATCGCCGGCACCGCCTCCCGCGAGTGCTGCCGGGCGGGGGCGGGATCGCCCGTCCCGGGAACGGGGCCCGCACACTCGGGGCGGGCACAGGGCAGCGGCTCCTGCACGGGAACGCCGTCCCTACAAGCCCACCATCCCTCCATCCCCTCCCACTGGCGCTGGGAACACGGGTGGGGGCCGCCCCGGCCCTGCACTGTCCTGCGGCCCCTCGCTTTGCCAGGATCCCCGTCCCGGCTGTCCGACGGAAGGGAGCGCCAGGGGCATCCTCCAGAGTCTCCGTGGCTGAGCAGGAATCGCTCCCGTCCCCTGCGGCCGCTGCCAGCAGGGCTGGCACGGACGGGGTCGTGTGCCCGGCTGCCCTGGCTGGCAGCAGCCGCCGCGCAGTGCGATGGCACCGCAGGTGGGCTGGCACTGCAGCAGCGCTCTGGGATCTCTGGGCAGCTTCACAGATCTCTGCCTGCTCTGAGGGGACCCACCAACCTCTTGGCAGAAATGCCCACTGCCCCTCAGCAGGAGGACATGTGTCCAAAGCAGTAGCGAGACCCCCTCACGCCCCCCGTCGGGCTGGACCAGCCGGACCATAGTCCCTGCTGCTAGCACGGTGGGGGCACCACGCTGCAGCACCCAGCTCCTCTCCTGGCGTTTGCAGGGGATCAGTAGGACAGGTGCATTAAGGTGCCTCTTCCCCTCAGCCCCTGCCCACCTGTGTATGTGCTGTGCTCCAGCCACCTATGCCATGCTGCTGCCTTTTCCCTCTCCCTCTGCTCCCTCCCTCTGTGTCCCCCCAGCCTTGGCCACCCCGTGTCTCGTATCCTGAGCCCCCTGCAGCCACCCCCCTGGTGCCCGCTCTGCCCATACCCCTGCCTGTGCCCCTGTCCATGGAGCCCCCTCCCTCACTATCGCTGGTCACCCCCCGCGCTGCCAGCCCTGCAGATGAGTGAGCCATAAACAGTCCTTCATGAGATGTTTTTCACACGCAGGGCCACATGTTAACAGTTTTTCTTTATTTACTGCCTCCATTTCCTCTTTGTTCCAGGAACTTGTCCTCCAACTTCAAGCTGCTCATGATTAGGCAAAAAGGCCTCTAATCTCCCCGATCTGATTTACCGTCACTGAGAGCAGACGCTTCCCGTTACTGGCCCTGGACCTGGGAGCACGGACAGCTGAGCTGTGCCGGCTGCTGAGCCCAGGCGAGCCTCCCCAAAGCTGCCCCGCCACACACCGCCTTCCCGGCAGCTTCCTCTTCCAGTAAGCGCTGGGCAGTGCAGCCAGTCACGCCGCAGGTGAAGGGCTGGGGGAAGAGCAGCTGTGGGGCCCTAGGCCAGGGATCCCCCCCTCCACCTGGGGTGGCTGCTGTAGGGCAGGGCAGGCTTTGGAGCCATTTTCTCTGCCTGGGAGGGCCGGGTGGCTGGAGTATCTCTCAGCATGGCCTTCCCAGCCAGCCACCCATCCACTCCCATGGCACCTGATGGGGTGGCTGATTGCCCTGGTGTGCCCAAAGCTGACAGGTAGCTCACGGGTCTGCTGTGGGCAGCCCCCCAGCCCAGACAGGGTCCGCAGCCAAGCAGGAGCTCCTTCATTGGGCAGCAGCCACAGCTTCTGCAGGACTGTGCAGTGTGTCTGGGTGTCTTCCACAGAGCTCCTTGTCTTTCAGCCCGGTGCCTTTCCCTGGGACTTTGGTCTGAGACCTGCCTTGGGGGTCCCCCTTGCTACCAGCACCCACAGAGCTGTGGGTGGGACCAGGACCAGGGAAGCGCTTGTGGC